TTATAAACAACACTAGAAAGATGAAATAAAAAATTTCTCTGCTAAAGTTACCATCTCACAAGTACACTGCCGCCAAACCAATTATGCCTCGATATCATTGAAAATTAGTAATATCTTGGAACTTTATATGTTAACAGAGAATAAGAAAATATTGGAATATTGTTAACCAGTTTTGAAATAATACGATCTTAACTGCAATTTGATTAATAAATGTAGCTGTTTTCTCTCAAATAAATGGTTCACCTATGAGTATTTTAATATCCAGCCTGTTGTTTATTTTAACCCTCGGATGACGGATGCCTTGATAGCGACGCGCGAGTCGAATACCGGGTCAATTAGACCCACATCAAAATAATATTTTGTTAAGAAGGGAAAATAAAAAATGNTACTAATAAACACAATCATTGATTGTGTGAATAAGAACCAAAATTAGAATTTGAACTAACAAACAAAGAAAATGTGTATTAAATACTTTTTAGTCACTTTCTATTAGCAACTGTAAGCTATTAATTTAAGATATTTTTAATATACATAGATTAAACAAACTTCTTCATACATTATATCCAACACTAGAAAATTGAAATAAAAAATTTCTCTGCTAAAGCTACCATCTCACAAGTACACTGCCGCCAAACCAATTATGCCTCGATATCATTGAAAATAAGTAATATCTTGGAACTTTATATGTTAACAGATAATAAGAAAATATTGGAATATTGTTAACCAGTTTTGAAATAATACGATCTTAACTGCAATTTGATTAATAGATGTAGCTGTTTTCTCTCAAATAAATGGTTCACCTATGAGTATTTTAATATCCAGCCTGCTGTTTATTTTAAAATAATTTATAGTTTCGAAACGTTCCACGCCCGCTGTTATTAAACATAAAAGTAAAGTACTAAACACTAAACTAATGTTACAAAGTTTTAAAATCGCATGTTTTATAACCATGATAATGGCATTTAAAAATTCTCTATATATTTGCAAGACGATTAAATATGAACTTATATGTTAATACTAATTCTTCTAAAACTTTAAGCCAGGCGTCACCATCAAAGGTCGTCCTGCGACATAGAAAATCGACTGTAATTTTGCATTTGGATTATTGAATAAAGTATTATAGAAATAATGATTTTCCACTTTATCATACCATGTATAAATAAATATCGATTTATCAACAAGCGCAATAAGCGTAATTTATTTAATCGTTATACATTACTGGATCGATGGATTTGTGCCCTGTGGATTTAATGTCTATTGTGTACGCTATCATCATTTTCTATAATATTATCGAAAACATTTTGGATCTTCTCTTTCTACTTCTCTACATCGATATGAATAAGTACTCCCAGCAACGTGATGTACTATGTACTATGTACATCACGTTGCTGTACATAATGTGGACAATATAACGTAATATATTAACGAAAGATTTAGGAACTGAACAATATTGACTTAAGAAAAGGGAATATCACATAATTGAAGACCTTTAGAATAGTGTCATACAACATTTTCTAGGCATAAATGAAAAAATATTGGGAAAAGTAATTATTTTTTTAAATTTTTAGTTAATTGATTAGTCGGTTGAAATAAAAAAGGATGATTTTTGTGAATTTTGAAAATAAATCGATATAATCAAAGATAAATAACCATTTATCAATAACACAACCGCCAGTAGATAGATGAACTTGCTCCTATTCCAGGCGTGTTCATTATAGTTGATAAGAAATTGATTCTAGTTTATCAACGCATAGCAAAAACTGACAAAGTGAAAGTCGTCGGTATGATTCAAAAAGAAATTAAGACAACCGTTGCAGCACACCAAGTTCGTCTATGACGATCACCTTTGAATATCTGTGTTATCGTAAGTTCCGAAGAAAGAGCGATTTGTTACTGTATTTCACATGAATGATTTTGACAAAAATTAGAAGATACTGGATATAATAAAATTTTATAATGAAACAATGTAGGACTGCGATGTGTTACACTACATGATCAGATCGCAAGCTAAAAGTAATAGGCGAAAGAAAATAGATGCTCTGTTTTGTAATAAGCTGACATTTCTGCTTTACAACAGTATCGCATTATTTACCAATTTAAATGTCAATTGATTACATTGCGCAGATAAACTTCCTATATCCAACAACGTAATACTAGATCTTTTATTTTCGCAGCTAGCTTTTTGCAATCTTTAAATTGACTAAAGAATAGACAATGAGCACCTATAAGCGCTATCAATAAATCGGTAAAATACAAATATGCTCCATAAAAAAGAGGTAAGCATTTAGAAACTGTTGTAGAAGGTTTAAGATGAAAAATCGGATGGAACTTCGAATGTTGAATACACGATGGAGGTGATGATATAGGATTGGGTTAGTTTTTTCTAATCAGCAGTCACAGACGTTGCAATTGTATCATCACGACAAGACAAGAATACTTACCAAGAGCAGCCACTACTACCCAAAAATGACCAGTAAAAAAATAGATTTTTATCGTCACAAGAATAACATAATAGAGAGGATGATATGGAACTCAGTCGAACCTTAAAGATATTACTATGAAGAATTCCTTCACACTGAATCGAACGCAGCAATTAGCAAATAATAATTAGTCCTTAATTAGCCAGCAAAGTACATATTGCGAACTTTCTATAGATTTTGTCACGATTACACTTGTTTCTAAAGAAGATTGCGACACGGCATCCATAGCATCAAACAGTATATTAACAAGCACACAATTAAAACAAGTTTTTATCATACAATTTATCAGTTTTTAATTCCTTTTTAACTTTCACCAGCAAAAATAACATCGAAGGGTCATTTCAGAAAGTTGCACTCTATATTAGTAGATTATTTAAATATCATATCAATGTCCTTTCTAAATTTAAAGATCTCAAATTTATTAATAACTTGACAACAGAGAAAGCTATCCTTCATATACTACCTTATTTAAGTATAATAATACAACTTATCCACGTTCAAAGAAAGTCCTGTTTCATTTCTTTATTCAACAAATTATAAAATAATCCAAAAAGGTTGAATTAGAATCTTATTGGAAAGATAAATTAATCCCAACACAGCGCGCACCTGCAGCTGACTATAAAGTTGATTTTGGAGCGCAAATGATGAATATTAAAGAAAAATTGGAAGTATTTAGTACTTTAATACCTTGTTTAGTACTTTCATTATAGACTTATCGTCGTTTAAAACATTAATTTAAATAACACAATGTCGACAGAAACTCTAATAGGCAGTTGTCGATTTGAAGGAAACGATCAATTTGATTTCATGACCTATATTAATAATGATTGCTTTTCCAAAACTACTCCAAGTAACAAGAAAGATTATGAACTTGATGAGTAAACTGTAAAAATAAATGTTTTACGCAATAAAAACTGAAATCTTAAAGAACAGATCATCTTAATGATTACAAATAAGGGTTTGTTACCAATTCTCAATATGTCTATGACTGCAAAGAAGACGAAATATTTTAAGTCGCAGCGATGAAATTTATAAAAAAAAAGAGATAAGCTGTTTTGTAAGCAAAGTTAATTTTTGCATTTTTTTTAAATAAATGCCCTATAATAACAAAGCATTTCTAAAGCGCTGTTTTTCCTCATTATGCGATAACATATACTTTAATAGTAAAATATGTCGCAAACAATTAGTTATACAGTAAAAACAAAGTTGTTCTGTTTACATGGTTGTTTGTCGTTTACACAAGTTGATTAATACTATTATTAAACTCTTTTATTTACTCCATTATATTGAACAGTATTTTAAAGTGATAACTTCTATTATTCTTCACATGTACAGTACTTGTGAAGCATTAAGATTCCTGTGACGTCATCCGCTATCTTTTGACAAATGAGATTACCGTATAGTTTACGTGCCGTGTCTTTAAATAACCTGGACTAATGATAACAGAAATGGCGATCATTTGAGAATCCCTGAAGACTAATCTTGCCAATTTGTAAATACTCTACTTGAATAGCCTCACAGAAAATCTTTATTTTTAATAAGATTTAATAAGACCACAGTGATTTTAATAACGAAGTGATTATACAACGTGCTAATAAATGTCACTATATAACGCAGACTTGGAATATGTTATAAAAGTAAGAGTATATTGCATAAACTAACGGAATTTTAATCCATTTTCTATCAACTAGAAGTTACAACGAATTTGAAAATATTTTAGTGAGTGAGGTGCATCGATTTTAGAATACCAACAGAGCTATAAAGAAGCATCATCCATAATATTTCAAATATAAATCGTAATATATATATAAAATTTGTTATTTTTTGTGTTTTATATTAACACAGGCAATATTAATTCAAATTATTATTCAATTATACCAACATCTAGATTTTATTGGCTGGTGAAGTTACAGAAAGACTATGACTACTTTGAATGACTATCTTCTAGTAGTTCGCAATAAATGTATTGGTACGGATTTGAGAATATATTTTTTCCTAAAAAATCTCGATTTACTTAAATACAAAATAAATAAAAATAAAAACCTTTGCATCTATTTCTATTCTTAACAAACTTCAACTAACAACTGTTTAAAAACTCTTCAGTTGAAACGCCTACATCAATTTGCGTCACAATACAATAACATACACGCGTTTTAAACGATTTGCCACCCACACTTTGCTTTCGTTAAACCGAATTTTCGGGCGTCACCGTGAATAAGTTTGGTAACCGTAAAACGGCATTACCGAGAGAAAGAAAAAATAAGTCGGACCAATTCGATTTGAACACGATTTAGGTCTTGTAAAACTCGCAACCTGCGCGTAATCTGTCAACATAAATTTTCCTAAATTTAACCGCACACTTCCAAGCAAACAGATTTATTATTAACTTCCGCAAACGATTTTCTTTGAAGCAAAATTGAATGCTATTTTTGAATGCGACCGACCCAATCAAACGCAAACTTTAACTTTTTTCCATTTATAAACTAATATTAATTAAATCAACAAAAAAAAAAATCTTACTTTTTTGCGTCTTCCGCTCCTTTACTTAAAATACTCCTTGCTGATGAATTAAACAGACTCTCCTGGTCTCCACTGTAGTCTTCGGTAATTTGTCCTACAACCGATTCTGAACGAGATGTTATTATTATTTCTTCCGCAACGGAGTTTTTCCGCGAAATTGACGTTTCCGTGTTTATTGTTTCTCGATGCACATTGTACACTTTTACTGGTCCAGGTTGTCTTCGTTCTTTGTGAACTGAACGTTTTATTTTTGGAATTGTGTAGTTATTTGATAATTGGGCTTTTATCATATTACGTTGTTCTTTTAAAACTATTTTTCGTTCTTTAGATGCTTGTTTTTGAATTTGTTTTAATCTAAACAGATAAATAAAAATATTAATATAATAGCGTATATAATTGTTTTCATGGCAGTGTGTCTTGTATTATTTAATTACTGATACTTATATTTGGACTGTTAAATAGCTAAAAGTAGCGTATTAAAAATTACCTTTGCATTTCTTGTTTCTCATGTTGAAGTTTGATGATAATTCCTCGTTGTTTTTTCTTTAAAAGTGAAGCTTCATGTACTTGTCCCGTTTCGATTAATTGCCTAATTGAATTTTTAAGAATAAATAAATCGCAAATACAACAAAATTGACAAAAATATTTTCTTTTATTAAGTTTATACAATAACTTACTTTTTCTGTATTTCCAACCAAGCCAATTCACCTTTCGTTCGATCTAATAAAGCTTTTTCTCGTATTTTTAAAATCGTTTTAAGATTGTCTATGCGAGTATCTTCATCTCTTATTAACTGATCAAACTAAAAGTGCAACAAACAATGAGTAAAGTAGTTTACATCGTCTTATCTCGACAACAAATCTATTTTATCTATAGAGATGAAAATATTTCAACATGTTAATAAATAGTCAACATCCTATTATGATAAGATAGCTTATAAAAATATCTTTAAGTTCTTGGAATTAAAGAAAAATAATTTTATTAACTTACCATACCAACTGAAAATCCTGCAAATGCATTTTTACTAAAACTCTCATTAGTGCTTGTAGAAATATTTGAAATTGAGTCATCAACACTCGAATTGATTGTGTCATCTAATTGTAATAAATAATCCATCGAAACTGAAACTAAACTCTGATCTTTCTTTGTCCTACTAGAACTTTCCGTTTCCTGTTGTTGATCTTTAATCAATTGACTAAAATCTTCAATAATATCCGATCCTCGAGAATAATTAACATTAGGTAAGGGTCTTCGAGCTGTTGTTTTTGGTTCAGATATCGATTCTTCGTCCACTACAGACTCTTCTATGGCAAATGAATTACGTTCTTCGTTTTGAGCAGAAGTTTGAGTATCTTGATTTTGAAGGATTACTGAATTATTTTGATTTTTTGAATGAAGATCTAATATTGTCTAATTTAATTTAAATAAAAATAAATATAATTAAATTTTTTGATAAATATTAGAAAATACCTTTTCGACAGCCATAAATTGACGAAGAGATTCATTGAAATCGTTGAGCAAATGCAGTTCAGCTTCAAACTTGAGATGTATTTGGTTCGTATTTGACTGAAATCAACACATTTTTATAAAACGATAACAGTTTTAATTAATGAACGCGTTTTAATTATTAAACGTTCAATAGTTTGTAGAAAAAGAATAAGACTTTAAGCTGTTTTATGCTCTAATGAATCATTGTTGAATGTTTTGTGAAAGTGACATTCAGCATTATTTATGACACATTAACGTTTTTAAATCATTAAATCAATCATTACGAAACTTTTATGAAAAAATAAATTATTTGTTGTAAAATTTTTATAATAGATATAGAAAATGTAGAAATATTTAACACGCATGAGGTAAGTTAAAATAAAAATAACATTCCAACCCAAATCGACTGTAACTTTGTTATTATTAAGAATTGAACTGAGATAATTTGGGTTAAACTATGATAATTTGACGAAAGAAGTAGATACTGTTCATATAAACTTGTACATACATTAATTCCTACGTTGTTGGGTGCTATGGAATTGCACGATACTATTTTAGGTTCACTTGGACGAAATGAATAAAAAAAATCACGTACAGATACATCTCAAATTAATTTATTACTCAAATACTAAAAATTAAACTTAAAAGGGTCTAAATCGCGATTGTAACTTCAAATATGAAGTCGCAAAAACCTATAATGTACAAAAACTCAAATGCATAATGAAATTTTTTGGTTCTAGATAATATTCCTGACGTTTGTTTTCAGCACTGCAAAATCTAAGAAAGATGAACTCCGTGTAGCTGGACTAAACTGGACAGTTTTCAAGAAGTTCTGGTTCGTTGTTTGGAAAACATACTAATAATGATTTCGCTCAGGTGACTTTTACAACGAAAAACAATAAAAGCACTCAGACAGTCGAACGGCTGAATGTTGTGAAAATAAGGCAAATAAAGGTGAGGGAGGGCTATGAAAGAGATCTCATGAACAGATTCTTGAATACAACAAAAACCTACGTACCGAGAAGCACTGGAATAAGGTCAAAACTAAAATGTCAGAAAAGGCAACGTGAACGACACGCAATAAGAACAAAAAGGGAAGAGCAGAGCGGCTTGACGAAGACTGTAAAAAAGCCATAGGGGAAAGGAACGAAGCACACAAATATATGGAAAGGAGAACAAGAGAAAGAAGAGCAACGTTTGAAGAAGCGAGACTAAAATCAGACAAGATTTGTTGTAATTGTAAAACAAAATAATGAGAAAGAAAAAATGGAGAATGGTTTCCAAAATAATTACTTGAGAATAATCTATGTCTATAAGCTAGTCGATGCAATCAAAGGATATAAACCGCGGACAACTTTCTGTAAAACTGCCGAAGGACAGAAAATAAGCGACATACAAATGATAAAACCGATCTAGAAAACACACTTCCAAACCTTGCTTGGCGCACAAGAGAGTTAAGTTCTAAGAATGATGACCTGAGAGAAACAAGAGGAAGAAACAACAAGATACTCAATGAGAACTGCACTCATTATTCTTCAAAAATCAAATATTCTCAAAAAATTAGAGACTACAAAATCATCATTAGACCTATAATGTGGATACGAGACATGGATTATGTCAGAGAGCACAAATAATAAAACGTATTTAAAAGAAAAATATTGAAGAAAATCTTCGGTCCAATAAAGGAGAATAGGATATGGAGAAGGCGATACAATGAATTCGTCAAAATTCTGTCATTCGTTGCAAAGACTGCAATGGGCTGGTTATGTGGCACGAATGAGCGAGGATAAAATGTCAAAAAGGCTCTTAAGTAGCAAGGAAAGTGACCTAGATGGAAGACCACGAAAACGATGGGTGCACGAAGTGACTGAAGACGCAGAACAACTTCTGAGCGTCACACCCTGGAACAGAGTATCTCGTGATCGGCAGCGATTCAATTTTGATGAATGTATACTTTACATTGCCACTTATATTTTAAAGCTTGCTTTTATGTCTGGATCATGTCCATGATTATCCAAGTCCTCCTCATAATCATTTAATAAGAGGTGAAGTGCAGATAATCTATGATCACATACGATTGAGTAATTTTCAGACAGATCTGCACATTTACCACCAAACAAATATAAGATGTGAAAAATGAAATCTAGATACATAAGTTATTTCTTATGTATCTAGAAGCATATGAATAAATTTCAGTACACTCGCTCAATTTTCACTTAAGATCTGGACACAACCCTACCACAACGTAGCCGACGTAGAACAAACGTAGAAAGAAAGGTAATTGGCGTTTCCAATTCAAATTATATTTCATTATGAAAAGTCGAAATAATAATAATTTAAAATTCTGACATTTGCTGGCATTCGTCTCCAAACGCGACCCAGTGTAATCGCATTTACGATTTCTTCTTTGTAATATACCTATTACATATATTACAAATATTTCTCATGTGTGGACAGATTCCTCTCTTCTGTCCCGGCCTTATGAATAAATTGTACGGTAATAAGAAATGCTGGTATAATACCAGTGTTAGTTGTCGGGTTACAATTTGTTCATTTTTCTATCTCAGTAATGCCATTCACTATGTTAATTAAAATTGTATATACTATAAATTTTTGGGATGGATATAGTGTGTACTATTGTTTTATATTATCAATACGCAAACTCCGAGTATTCACAAATAATAATACTCTAAAATACTACCATCAAAATATAATTTGAAAAAACCCTCGCACCGACATCTAACAATCAATAGTCAAAATACTGTGCATTAGCGAGGGGATTCCCTGATCTGTCTCTCCATTTCTTTTATTATCACGATATTGTTTTCACTCTTGATTAATATCGTACATTTTACAGACGTATGATGTTAGTTAAGGGTTAATCAGTTCTTAGCGTGCTCTACTATCACTTGCCAAAAATCCCCTCACTTTTGCGGTAAAATTTGTTGTAATGACTCTCAGTCTGTTGTACTCCTTCTTCCGCGCATTTGACTGGTCAAGATGAATTAGCCACAAGGACGGTAGAATCTTAATGGACTGCTATAACTTTTAATCTTTTGTAATCCCGAAAATGACGTCAGTATCGGACCAATACGTCACACCAAGTGTCACGATCAGTCAACTGTTGTTGTGTTCTGCGTAAACATTCTAATAATTATCAATGTTTGTGAATGTTGCGTGCACAAAATATGTAAATAAAAACCTGTCTGAAAACGCAGAGCTAAACTTGAAACTTTCTAAGTATAGTGTTAGTTCTAGTTTTAATTGTTATTCAGCGCTAGATTGTTGTATATTTTATTGAACTAACACCAGACCTAGAACCAAAGACAGTAGAATCAAACAGGACTGCTACATCCATTGTTGTGACAACGTGCCCGCACATTACGTCACCATTTTTCATGCCCAGGCAGCTGTTATTGTGTTTTATGTGATATGCTGTGTATTTTTAGAGGTTATATCGTATATCATAGACGTATTCATATTACTTTTGAAGTTTTATTTTTTTAGACGTATTAGTGTTTATCATATAACCTCTAAAAACTCACAGCAAATGCATAGAACTCAATGACAGTTAAATAGGCGTGGTAATAGTGTGACGTAGAGTGCGGGCAACCAACCCGTAATGGGCTACAAAACAACAATGGATGTAGCAGTCCTGTTAGATTCTACCGTCCTTGTCTAGAACTAGAAACATACAGGTTTAGCAATCTTAAGAAAATGCATGGCTAAACCGAAATGTCTAGTGTTACTGTTAATTAATTTGTTAATTCAAAGTGTGAAACACGTCCCATGCGTGACGTCACGAACGGGCCATCGGGCTGTGCACCTGTTTCTCAGATATAGCAGTCCTCTTAGATTCTCCCGTCCTTGGATTTGCCAGCTGTATGTACTAAGTAATTACTTAACCCCTTGGCCTATGCGCTAACTCCAAGTTACAAGGGTCATAGCAAACAAAAAAGACGGTCACATGCCGAACCATTCAGACGTATGTCCAAATTTCCGCAAAATGTATAATTTCTAACAACCAGCCAGACTCGTTGTTTTCCCTTCTGGCACAAAGTCCTTACCACGAGTCTTACTCATGGTTGTAGGCCAAAGGGTTAAAACCTTTGCCAAATTATATGAAGCGGCAACATTATGGGCTAACAACGTCTGCAAAACAAAATATTTTGTTTATTGCCATCCGTGGCATTCGTAGTTAAGATGTTGCCGCGTATGAGTGTAATGAAATTTCCAGTTCCAGTTTTGTAACCAAAAAAAGTGCAAAAATATAAAACTGAGATAAATGATTAAAGAAAAAATTACTATCGAATATCGAAATATTACGTATGAAAAAAGAAGTAAATCAAAATTTTTCCTTACCTTCGTTTCAATGCATTTCACTTCACCCGGTTTGATCGAAACTTGATTAGGAATGTTAGTAAATTCAGACTTTCCATTAACTTTATGCGAGGTAGACATTGGCGACGACACAGTTGGACGTTTCAAAGTAGAAACCGGTGAAATCCCCGACTTAGAATCTCCACCGGAAAATCGACTACTATAACTCTCATCTTTCTTATCAATACTTTTCTGACTTTTACTCTTTAAGCTGAATTCCGTGTTGACACTTTCAGATCCAGAGGATTGTGGCAGACTCACAAACGAGTCAGATTTTTTGGAATGTTTCCCTGGTTCCATGTTTGACATAAACTCCAAAAAACTTTTTAAATCATTATTAGAGTATTCCGTCGGAGGATCCGAAGGAATTAAATTTAAGTTTGGAATGTGAAGTGGACTTGGATTCTTTTTAGAATCTTCTTTTATATTTGAAATACTTGAAGCGCTTCGAGACTTTTGATAAGTTTTATGACATTTTTTCTGCGATCGTTTTGAGATATTTTCTGAGGATTTTGAACAAAATTTTTCAATAAAATTCATTTCAACGGGATGAATGGGTTTTTCTAGTTTTAAATCTTTAATTTTATCAATGTTTATTTGAAGAATTGAGTCGGATGTTGCTTTTAAGTTGGATGTTGAGCTTTTCTTCGAAGCACTTTCTGTTGATATATCAGGGATATTTTTTGAAGTATCCGATTCGCTATCAGAATGTTGTTGTATGTCGGAATGTTTCTTGTTAGTTTTATCACAGCCTTGGTTATTAAGCAAGTTTAAATTTCCTATTTTTTTCAAATCTAAATTGAGGGGATTTTGAGATAAAAATATTTTTGAATTTTTATTTTCTTTCTGTTCTAAAGATTTTTTTAAATCTTTTTTAATCCTTGAAGAAGTTTCTATTGATTCAGTATCGTCAATTTGAACGTTTTCTTTAATCTTGGTGGATGTTAACATTTCGTTGAAATAAATTTGTGGTGTTAAATCATTTTGTTTGTTTTTTGATTCCTCCAAAGAAAATCGTTTAAACATTTCTTGGGCGGTTTCTTTTCGATCGATAAAATGATCAATTTTAATTTCTTTTTTGTTTGATTCTTCTAAAGATTTTTTTATGTTTTCTTTTATTTTGAAAGAAATTTCTTTTGAGTCATTAAAATTAACATAAGATCCATGATAATCATTTTCGTTTCTTTTAATAATTTCTTCTAAAGAGGTTTTTAGTTGTACATCTTTCGTATCATTAAAATTTATTTGTATTCCTATATCTTTATTTTTATTTGTTACAAAATTAAGTTTTCTTTTAACTGTATTAATAAAGTTATAAGGATAAGATTCAACTTTTGGTGTTAACCAACTAGGAATAGCTTTAGTTTCAATAACATTCGTTATGGTTGGTTCTTTTATAGCAGGTTTTAAAATTAACTTATGTAATAATTTTTTATCCCGATATTTTCTATAATATCTTTGTATTTTAATAGCTGCCCCTTCCCTAATTAGTTTATTTTTTTGAATGTTAATTTCATCATCATTGATTTTAATATTGTCTTGTTGTAAATTATTTACAATAAGATCAGGAACTGAATTGTTATTAATTAAAGGATTTTCGTTCGAATGTTGTACTAAATCGTTTCGTTCGTCAAATATTAAATCATTTTGTTTATTATGATTTGTTTTAAGTATACAAGTGGATTGATCACATTGAGTTTCAATTTTGTCTTGAATAAGTATTTTCTGGTCCCGATTATCGCAGTGTAACTCTTTACATTTTAATTTATCATTCTTATTGGTCACATTTTCTTTCTTGTCATCTAATTTTCCACCTCGATCTCGAGACTTTGATCTTTCACGTTTAAAATTAACATTTTTTTGTACAATGTGAAGACTCTTTTTTTGTAGTTCCCGTAATTTTTCCTTACGCATATCAATAACAGTTTGAGATTCTTTACCATCTGATTTTGTTTTAATACGTTTTTCTTTTTGTTTTCGAATGTATTCACGAGCCTCTTCAACATTATAAGACCTTACCTTCTTAGGAGAATCTTGTTTTTTAATGTTAGATTGCGGTGTTACAAAACTTGATCTAACAGTAATATTTTTAAAAGCATTTCTCCGAGCACTTGTTGATTGGTGTGGTTCTTCCTTAACTTTTTCTTTCTCTGTGAAGGTAGGCAAAGATTTGATGTCATGTTGCAACTCGTTTTTAGGTTCAACACCTCTTTTTAAAAGTTTTTGCAGTTCATCTTTTAACTGTTCAATTTCTTTCTTAGTTTTTTGAACTCTTTTGCTAACATGTTCGCAAGGAGATGACATTTCGCATTATTAACATACTATGTTTTATACGAAAATAAGACGTTATAAACTTAAATAAGATTGAAAACGAGGAATGTAACGTTATAAAGTTATAAGCTAGAAAAAAAAACAGTTTGAAGGATAATCAAAATATCATAACCTTAAATAAACTTACCGTATGCAAGGACGAATTATATGAGGTACACAAGTACTTAATTATCACATTAGTTTTAAACGCAATTGAACGGTTTTAAGAACGCATTGTTTATTCTTATTTAACGATATGTTGAAAATATTTTGATGACCGTTTTTCTAAATGGCATTTGAGAATAACGTATTATAAATACCGGTCAGATTAGGTTACCCGCTTAGCACAAGTGACATATTGGTTGCATAACCTCTTTTAATGTTTGAAATGATATAATTAACCCTTAATTAAACCCCCATTAAGTCCATTACACTACTAATCTACTCAGAAACTCACAAACTATTCAAAATTACTTAAAAGATCTTACTAACGACGCCAGTAGTGATTATTTTCTGTGGAAGCCAACAAGAAAACTTAAAGATCCAAAAATACATACACCTACAATTCGAAATAGTAATTGGGCTAAGAGCAATCAAGAAAAAGTTAATTTGTTTGCTGAACATCTGAAAGAAAGTTTTACATCAGATCCAGAGTCCAACAACTATGTTAAATAGTATTCCAACTAGTATTACAAGTATTACAACTATGTTAAATAGTTAAGTAGCATAATTTAAAATGATCAGCAGAGTAATATACCATGTGTAAGAATGAAAGATCTGTATTATGAAATACAAAAATTAAATATAAAGAAATCAGCAAGCTATGACCTAATTAATCTATCGGATCATTTGGATCAAATATTCACTCTAGTGGATGTTATGTTATATACCATCAATGGAGTAACGAAGAACGCTCAAGTTCTTTATAGCTAAGATCTTTATAATAAAACTAGAAAGGAATATAGATCTGCGGTTATGACTGAAAAACAAAAAAACACTCTTTATGTCATTGACAATGCCAGCAATAAACAAAAGGCTATATGGCAGATGATAAATAAAGAACTAAAAGGGAAGAAGGAAAACAATATTGATAACCTTTCCAGCCTGGATGCTCAGTCCTTCAATAATTATTTCTCCAGGGTTGCGGTGAATACAATACAAACTATCCCTGGACCAAATTTAAATCCCAGTATGCTTGTCTTCAAAATATTAAACAGAAATCAACAATCCTTTTTCTAAAGCCTACTACCGAATAAGAGATCCTAGAAACGGTTCTTTCGTTACCAAACAAGAAAACCACTGATATTTACAACGTCTCTACCTACATTCTTAAGAAGGTTATCAGGTATTAGTCACACCCATTGCCAATATAGTAAATTGCTGCTTTACAAACAGCGTATTCCCTGACGAACTTAAAGTGGCTAAAGTGGTTCCAATTTTTAAATCTGATGATCCAAACGGTTGTAACAACTATCGGCCCATTTCCATATTGCCGGCTATCTTAAGAAATTTCGAATCATTATTAAAATGTAGATTAACTGAATGTATGGAAAATAACAAGTTGTTTAATAAAGCCCAGCATGGTTACCGTAGTCAAAAGTCTACCACCTCAGCTCTAACAAGCTTGATTGATGCTGTGGCACGAGCGTTCGACGAGAAAGAAGAGGTTGAATTATTATGCTGTGACTTGTCAAAGGCATTCGATTGTGTCCAACATGAGACTCTATTAAGTAAACTGGAACATTACGGTATAAGAGGGCTACCAAATCACATGATCCGTAGTTATCTAACCAATAGAATGCAGTGCGTGCAATGGAAGGGTTGAACTTCAGAAATTATCAATATTGCTTCTGGTGTCCCACAAGGATCAATTCTGGGTCCAGTGCTTTTCATTATTTATATAAATGACCTTCCTGTAAATATTTCGGCTAAAGGCATATATATATATATACGCTGATGACACGTCTTTCATGTTAACTTCGAAAGATAAATGTGAGCTTGAAAAGAACACTGAAATTATTATGGCTGCAGCTGTGGAATGGTTTGGGGTAATTCCCTGAAGCTAAATGTTGACAAGACACAGAAACTTCTACTAATGACAAAACCTGAGGGACGGGAGCAAGAACCAATAAAATTCCTAGGGATTTCCGTAATGCCAAATCTAAACTGGAACTCTCACGTTGAGCATCTTCAAAGATCTCTAGCTGTTGCGATTTTCAGTATCAGGCGTATTAGAACAATAGCTGGATATGAGGCAGCTAGGGCTACGTACTTTGTATATTTGGTATATTAATTTGGGGGAACTCATCGGCGGCGAAAGATATTTTCCTACAACAAAAGACAGCAGTAAGGGCTTTAACGGGTGAAAAAAATACCACAACCTGAAAGCCACTTTTTCTACAACATAAGATACTTCACGTCCATTCCTCCCAAAACGTTCTGATATTCACTTTTACCGTGAAATTATATAATAAATGCCCTTTGCAAACAAGAAAGCTGTCTAATCGCCGCTTCTGGATAGGAGTGCGACATCTTCTGATAGCCGGTGCTTTCTATAATGTTGAGAAGTATCTTCAAATGCCCTCATCAGAAGTGAAATCGTATTTTAATTTTTAATTATATTTGCTTTGTTATTATTATTATTATAAATATATTTTTTATACATTACTTTTTTTGACGGTGCTTTGTCTGTTCTACTTATTTTGTAAAACATTTGAAAGCTCAATAAATATATTATTAGTATTATTAATGGAGAAACATTGAAACATCTACCAAAACGGGCGATTACAAAACTATTACACATAATTAATGTTGCTTTTAAACAGAAATACTTCCCAAGTATATGGAAAGTTGCTGAAATAATAATGATACCAAAACCTGGTGAACCCCCCACAGATGTTACATCATATAGGCCAATCTCATTATTACCCTTACTATCAAAACTACTTGAAAAATTAGTATTAAAAAGACTAAAACCTGACATAGCAGAAAAAGTCCTAATGAATAATACCAACACATGAATTTGGGTTTAAAGTAAACTATGTCCCAGTACACATAAATGGCAATGTTGTCCCTTACGCCGACACCGCAAAATGTCTTGGTATGACGCTGATGCCAAACTCAAATCGAGACCATTCAGCTTCTCGACAACGAGGATATCCTGCATCGCCTTCAGGGGATGAAGCCGTTCGATTTAGTGACCTAGTGCCCTAGTCGATTCAAACGCGAGCAATAGTGCGGAATTATAACAAAAACAGTAATAACCGAAATGTGTGTTTCGCGTATCACGTCTCGCGTATTTGTGTTACGATCTTAAAATTCTAAAAATATGACAATATTTATCTATAGTATGTGTAAAGCAGGCTGGACCACTGGGAAAAGCTGCGAAACATTGTCTTGTTTAATTTTGTGTAATGTCAAAAATAAGTAACTAATTAGTATGTATTTACTAGGTGTTATACAACTGTGCTATGCATAATATAAAAAAAAGATTGTCCTTGCGAACGTCTTGGGCAGGAATTTCTGGAACCGGGTACTTTTTCTTTTTTAGATTCAGTTTAGGCTGTAAATGATTGCTTGGTCTGCCGCGCTTTTTTGGAATTGTTTTTGATTTTGTTAGCACTTCAGCTATACCTAGTTTGAATTCAGAAAGTGGCAAATACTTCTGAATCAGTAAATCTTCTTTTCCATAAAAGCACAGCAATTACACATATTAGATCTAAGAAATGAAAGAAAATTATCAAACGCCATTTTTTGGATCTAATGTGTATTCGGTAATAATCTAACATGGAGTCCAAGAGATCAACTCCTTCCATGTAGGAGTTGTAATGCTTGCACTACTCGGGAGTGGTAAATAATTTCTTTGTTTCCGATAAAATCTTTTAACTTCAAACATATTTTGACATCCGACATAGGTTGAGCAACAAGTGATATGTTTACGCAACTTTTTCAATTATGGTACTCCTTCCCTTCTTCTTTAGTACGTTATCTGTAGGTAAATTACTGTTTGGTACTCGATTTTTTCTAACAGTACCAAGAGGTAAAATACTTTGTTTTGACAAGTAAACGAGTAGGTCTATAGTTGTAAACCAGCTGTCGAAAAATAACTTGTAATTTTGATTTCTAGAATCGTTTCCGCTAGTATCACGACAACATTGCTGCTCATACCGAGATTTGGTGGTAATTCAGTCATTCCTGAGTAAATGTCGAAATCATAACTAAATCCCGATACACCGCTTAGAACAAATACTTTGTAACCCCACTTGTGGACTTTCTTAGAGTTATATTGTTTTAGATGGGATCTAGCTTTTATAGGTATGATTTACTCATCTACGGCCATATGTACTTCCTTGGGAATAGTAAGTAATCTTTCTAAAAGGTCGAATTTTGAATAATTTATCATGTCTTGGTTTTTTGTTTTATTTGATTACTGTTGTTGAAATGAATAAATTTTTTGATTTCTTCAAATCTGTTGCAAGTCATAGTGCCACAAATTGCAAGAATAGCCATAGAAAATTTCAAATAGCTTGTTATAGAAGGCAACTGTGTAATAGTCATATAAATAGAAATACCAAAAAAGTTACGAATTTCTTCTGCAGTTAATTTACCATTTCCGTTGTGAGCAAGTACTCGAGTACTCTATTTGAGTATTCGAGTACTCTATTTGAGTAGTCAGTTCACCTCCAGGAGGTTCTTCGACAACGACTTCAAAATTAACAGACCAACAGATCTAAAAAAGAGGAAGAAGTCGTAATTACAAGCTTTTACAAGTCTTCATATTATGTACTTAAATCTTTATGATAAAAGTATGGTTGAAAATAAAGAACTGTATTGTTGGTTGCAGCCTTTTTATATTTCAACGATTTGAATGCAAATATGATCTACAAAGTAGTAATTTGGATTTAAACGTTAGCAGATCGTGTTTCTTTCGTGGTTGTGACTACCGACTATGTCTAAATTCGTGTTAAAATTAGTGGTACCAAGTCAAGGTACAATACAATTGCACATAGTAATTCTGGACATGGCTCAAATTAATTCTCAGGTGACGATATGTTAAGTAATAATATATTTTAATTATTATTATATAATTCGATTATGTTAATTTATGTAATCGAATGTAGTTAATTAATGTATTAACTTGTTTTTGTATATCAATAATATTTGAACATAGATAAATCATAATTCAAATTAATTTTGGACACAATTAATTTTTAAAAATTCTTTATTATGATTAAAAATTAAATTAAAAAGGTTACACTATAAATTGATTTTCGATTTAAAATAATTCATTCATTAATCATCCTAAAGTACCTAATACAATTTCTTTCACATCATTCAAAAATTAAAAAACAATATAATTGGTTTTAAAACTACAAAAAAATCAGTACAAAACATTTTCTGATCAAAGTATTTTTGTAAAAAAAAACACAATGAGACTCACACACAAAAGAAGTGTTCTGACGGAAAATATGAATGGGGAAAAAGCGGTGTTGGGAAAAAGTGAAAGAGAAGGATATAGGAATGAAAATGTATTAGAGTGAGTACTGGAGTTACCTGAGCGATAGAATTGTTTACAGTGTGGCTTCGAAACAGAGCGCCTCAGTTCAAGCAAAAACCGAGAGCTGGAATAAAACAGTCTTCTTCGGTCAGGTGCGTTCGAACGTGCGCGCTCGTTTCATTTATAATTCATATTCTAGTTTTTTTCTTAGTAAGTACACAATAAAATGTTCACGATATCGCGCGTTATCGTCGATAATCATTGAAAAAATTATGAGAAGAGCAGCGTTTGTACCGGTTACTGAAAAAGAAAAGCAGGCTTATTTTGGACGGAATGAAACATGTTTTATTCCAGGGTAAGTTATAAAAATTGAATAAGAAAAGTTTGTTTTAAAGTTTTGATGTGACTTCATCACAATAAGTTTTCTTATTCTTGTATGTTGTTATTTCACTTTGTACTTCTTTCAAATAATTCAATTGGATTTATTATATTATAATTTACTTAAAAACTTCTTCGTACTTAAAAATCTACTCTGATCTACTGGTGAAATTCAAAGTTCTATTTAAAAGTTTACCCTTTTCTTTTATGAAATATTTAAATGTTAGTGGAGACCTATAAATAGATCTTTTGTAAAAGTTCCCTTTCTGTTTGGTTACATGGGGGTGTAAAGAAACCGAACTATTATTCATATTGATTTCTCTCAAATTTCATGAAGGGTAAAAGTTATTATTGACTTAACCCATTAGTGTGTAAGTGTAAGTGACACTCGAACTTCAAATTTTTATATAGAACAGGATGATTAAAATGAAATTTAAAGATAAATTGGACTATTTTTGATTTTAATTTGGGTAGACTTTGATAATTTTTTGATAATAAATGCAACAATTTTGTATGTTAAATATTTTTAAATTTGTTATTGTTTTAATTTTCATCAAAATTCTAACAAAAGAAATGTAAAACTAGTGTAACAAAATTGCAGGTTTAAAAAGGAACAAAAACTTCATGCTTTGTTGTAAAAAAAAACTATTAACTGTAAAATATACCTATATCAAAAGAAATACATCATTGTATCGATTTCTTTGACACAACTACATTGCATTTTCCGGCCTCTAAACTAAAATATTGTTGTAAAAGATTACACTCAGCAAACAATAAAATCTGTCTTCCATTAAAATTTTGCATTTTAGTTCTAAAATATTATCGTCACTCATAATATAACCTTTGGTATTATGTTCTTTCCCACTGTTCTATCATTAAGAAGTTTTGTTCGTTTGTCCGAAATATACGCAGTGACATGGAGGTCGCAAAATCAAAAAGGAATACGAATGTTTGAAACGTAATTTTTATTAATAATGCACACTCTCCCATTCTCTTCGTGGCAACGATTCTAGCAGATGGTTGATTTGCTCTTGCTGCAATTCATGCTTTAGAGCTTCCAGCGTCTCCGGAGGATCCATCGAATTCCTCTGTCTTCTCCCCATAAGACCCTAAAAATGTTCGACAGGCGAAAGATCAGGAGATTAGGGTGGCCATGGCCAGAGAGTGAGATTATTCTCTGCAAATCGGTACTTAAAATAACTTGCTTTTTGGGGACGGTCTAAAAATATGAGTCTTCCAACTGCTGAGGATATGAACGAATATTCTACTTCATGCAACTTCCCGGAGGAACATCAAACAAGACCTACTTTCCAATAATTTGGCGCACGACTCGCAACAAAAAATTGCATTATTTTCCACGTTTTCGTCTAACCCTCATACCTCCATCATGTATCCTTAAACAGAATCGAGATTTATCACTGAATCACGCCCTAACCCTCTAGGTCCTACGTTCTAATCTAGTCGCAACTTACACCAGTTCACACAATAAGCTGTCGATGTTATGCCATTACTTGCAAAATTGCAAGCGTAAAGATCAGATTCTGCGAAGATAACGAAGGTGGCTAGGTAACTAAGAACGTCCTGTAAGCTTCGCTACCTAGCCATTTACCAGCAATTGATTTGTTATTGGAGAATAAGTCTTCTATTAGCATAAGTCGAAAAGGCGCTTCTGCATCTCATTCTTCTAGCTCTCGGTTCCTCTTCTGTGACGTTCGTGTCCATGCCAAAAAATACTTTCGCGCAAACCAACAGTATAATGTCGAATACGTTTCTGTCAAATACGCTTCATTTGCAGATGTGTATACGTTATCGGATTTTACGCATGATCACCTCTTAAAACAAACGTTACAAGCAAAAACAAAGTCTCACAAAATATACACCTGATAAAATTGTTAGAAAAAACTCTCAGATAAACCATTATCACGTAAGCCATATGAATGGAATTTTAATCAAGTGTTATCGTTTAGTAATTTAACATTTCCACCAAGTTTTGTCAAAACATTCTCGCCCCTTCTTGGTATTGCGATTACGATCTCACTGAGTATAATATCAACATTTATTTTCTCGATGTTGTTCTGGTGTTACGTAAATTACTTATTTTCTTGAAATTTTTTTTATTGTCGTTGCTACTTTAAACTAAATATTCTTACCTTTTCCAGATTAATATTATTACATTTTCTTCTTCCGCAAAGTTTGTTTAATCTATTTTTTTTGTTTTATTTCTTCCTCGTCAATAAATATGATGTCTTATTTTCAAATTCAATTTTCTATTAAATTTCTTTTTACATAGAATGTTACATACACTTTTATGATATGAATTTTGTAATTATTTCATACAAAATTTTGTTCAAGATCCTGTATTATAATATTCTTAATGTATTATCGATTTAATATACTACATTAGATACATTAGACAAAACATAACATACTAAAAAGTTCATAATTAGGAAAACTGTATTATCTCCCATGTTTTGTGTTTTGTTAATCTAATAAATGAATAAATAAATGAACACAATTTTTAATATAAAATTTAATATGGAGATCAACTGTTTGAAAATGAAACATAAAACTTAAATATAAAAACACCAAAAAAAATGTAACGCAAAACTTGCTGAACGCCATTTATTTTTTCTATTCAATTTTTCCTATTCGCGACTGAAGTTAATTCCTACAGCCTTCTTTAAAAAAATTAAAAAAAAGCTACATTCAACTAAAACTTGAATTTAGTAAAGAGTTTCCTCTCCTAGAGTTTCCATACCTTACCTTTGGAGAAAAGAATGATTTTTTTATGTAGCTCGAATGCAATTAAAATGAAATAAGACATTGTTACGTGAAAGCCATGAGAAACTGAAGTAGTATAGCATAATTATACATTTTGTCACTCTCTATGTGGCTTTAAAGGCCGCTAACGGTGCGCTGATTAGTATTGAGACTTCTTTAGTAATAATAACTTTTTACATTTATGAACTTGTAGATTTTGTTTTAGGTTACTTGCGAGCATATCATTACAACGCTACAACTTTTATCGAGTGCATAATGTGGTCGCTCGTAATTATTTGTTTCTTCTGAACTAAAGCCAAATTTTAAATTGTTAGTATCGGATAATTTCTGTCACTCTGGAGCAAAGCGACCTCCTTAAAATTATACCACGAATATATTAGTTTATGTAAGAAGACAATCGAGTCAGACGCTTCTGTCGTGGACACCGAAAATTGTATATAAACGGACCCCAAACATTTCTAGTATTGTGTTAATTATATTCATGGTGTATGAACTTTGGTGGTCTAAGATCACGGATTGTTGACATACGACTATTAATGATAACAAACAAGATAACAGTCCTAGATTCTTCCATATGATTTCATTATCTGTCGATGAAGTAGAAACCTATATCAAACTATTAAGAAGCCGCGGACGATTCATTCTTAGGAGATCTTTAAGCTTTGTTTTAAAATATTTCCAGAAATTTAAAAAAAAAACTCAAATAACGCATTTTCAAAAAGAGTGACCGATTTATATAGAAAACTATCGACAGATTTTGGACAATATATCGATGGTTTTGGTACGACTTGGCTATTTTAGTACTCAAGAATGTGGTACTGTCTTCTATTTCTTCCTAACTCAACTGTCTCGGATTTACCAACTTTTTAGTAGCTTTAATTTCATCATATCTCTTCAATAGACTATGTTATAAAAGCTATATCGGTACTTTCTGGTTCTGGTGTTCCATGGGATTCTAACCTACGCGTGTTCCTTTTTAATATGAGTAAATGTTTAGTTTTATGAGTAATTGTTTCTATTTATTTAAAAATTCCTTGTTAATGTTTACTTTAACGATTTTTTAAAATGTGATTGTAATGTGCTTTTACTAATAACTTGGAGATATTTACTTGGGTAACATTTTATGCAAACTGTATGGTTTCACAGCGTATACTACCATTTTAAGTATTGTGGTGACTTGATGAAATACGTAGAGATTTGAGATTTGGGTGAGTTTCACAATGAGACAAAGCAAAAAAAATTGATACTATAACTACTGGGTATCAATTTTCTATGTGGTTGTCCGAACAAAATTGGTGTTCAGTTCTCTAATCTGGTATATAAGTTACACCTCCCATCAGCTCATTCTGGACAGAGTGCAAAAGAGGTTCTTATAATATTTGTGTTTTAAAACCTTTGGTATCTACCCGGAGCATACTGTGTCAAGATACAGGTACCATGATTCAAGCGCTCCATTGGTAAATAAAACATTTTGAAAAAAAAAAGTTTATGATGAATTCTGTAATACCCCCCATGTGCATAAATATACTCTCAATCAATGATCCCTGGCATGCAGCGTTTGCATGCTGCATCGGCTGTAGATTTATACAAGTTGTATTTTCAAAGATATCTATAAACACAAGATTGGGTGTCACTCCTATTTTTTAACAACAGACGTGTACTTGTGTTAAGATTATTCTTGACATCCTCCAATAACTGTTTTCCCTTATTTCATGAAAGTTTTCTAGGTCGATCGGCGTACAAAGTTTTGGAGCGATCCATTATAATTCTTTTTCACTCCAAATTAATTACGTTGATATTGGCACTTCGCGTTGGCTAACTTGCTTTATATTTCAGAAGTGATTTTCATTATTCGACGTATAGATTTGATAATCGAGTACATCGTTTACGAGTTATAACCACCGAAAAAAGGTAATTTTTGTATTATTATTTATTTTCGCAATGTTTTGGCATTTTAGCGGAATTCAAAAGAGATTTCGAATCGGGCATTTCTTCTTTCTTATTGGCCTAGAGTTAAGCTTTCGAATTAGATATTGTTTGTCAAAATTCGGTAGACAAGTTTTCTTGTTATAATCAAAATAATATACATGTGAAATCTTGTTTAATTGGGAGCTAGAAAAATTGGGGGATAACTTCGCATAGGTTAATAATACAATTCAATTTTTTTTAGGATCTTTTTGAATTAATTCCGTTTTT